ACCTGACCCCAAATCTGTAGAACTTAGATCTTGGACTTTCCAGTCTTCAGAGTATAATAAATACATTTCTGTTGTTTATAAGCTACTCACTTCATGCAGTTTTGTTGTGGCAGCCTGGACAGACTAAGAGACCTTTTTTCTCCAGGGACACTGCAACCACTTTAAATCTAAAGGGCAAGAATGGGAAGCCACTAGAATAAAGCTACATTCCAGTATCACTGCTGGGATATAGAGGTGATGGTGGAAAAAGGCTTGGCAGAGCACATGGATGACGGCAGCCCCATGTCTGTTCTCACCCTGGGACTTTAAGACATGAATGAGTTGAGGCCAGATAGGTGGCTTGAATTAAATTCCAGATGATTTTATAGTTCTTGGCACCAGCAAATGGTTATCAGAGGGCCTGCATGTGGAGAGAAGAGTAGAGCGTGGGGGTCTCGGCTAGCTGTATGTTGCTGTATGTTGATAGAAGCCATTGATGGTAGACTCTGGATGAGGAAGACTTGGCAGGCAGAAAGGGAACGGCACCAAGAAACATCACGTTGGCCTAAAGCAGTTGGGCCTGCTGTCTCTGAGAGACTAACTGGCAATAGGATAGGTCCTGCTGCAGTGGAGCAGTGGGTCCAGAGGAGGTTATTTTTGCTTTTAATATGAAGGTAGGTCCTTAATCATCAGAACGGGAGCTGAGAATGATGAGGGATTCTGAAAGAAGAGCCATGGGGGAATGGAACCAACCTTTTTTTCACAATTTGTTTGGCAGTTTCACAAATTAGTTTCTTTGAAACTAACTTCTACTCAAGATAAGGAAGCCAAGGATCAGAGAAATCACATGGCTTGTCCAAGTCACATCCCTGGTATGCAGCAGAGTAGGGATTTGAACTCAACTGTCTTCAGAGGGTGTGGTCTTTCCAGATCTTGTCTGGAAGATGATGTTCCTCCTTTCCCTTTGTATCTAGCCCTTACTTTTCTCTTCAGCCACTCTCTCCTGTTTTTTCTGCTTCATGCAATTCATTCTCCTGCCATCGTTTCTTCTTAACTTGTCATAATTTGCAACAATTGTATTTATTAAACAAAAACAATTTTCAAAGTATAGTTGAAAATTTTATAATTTTCTAAAAAACAGGATTCCAACTCTCTTAAAATTAAAGTTATTTTGTACTTATTTATAAAAAACCTGTAACTCATTTTCTCCTTTTTATGTGTTAGTATAATCAAGGGGAACAGTAGGGCCATGAATATATGATTAAAATATTAGAGTTCAGAGATGCAGAAACTAAAATGCAAAGAAGTTTAGTGACTTCTTTAGAATAAATTGTCTAGTTCCTGAATGATCCAAGTAATTGAGAGAAATAGGGAAAATCCTGATTTAACAAATAGAGTTTCAAAAGCATGTTTGTAAATTAGTATTCTGCATTTGGTATATGTCTCTAATAAAAAGAAAACCAATGTGACCTGAGTGTCTCATAGGAAACAGCTGAAACTCACTATTTACATCTAAGAATAGTATAACAAACTAGCCAAAATTATTATGTAGTACTTATGATGAACACAACACAAAGACAATACACTGAGAAAGAACTTTAATTTTAAATGTATAGGAAGAGAAAGTTTAATTAGGAAGATCAGAGTCAACTGGAGAATCTGGCAGCGATTCTAAAGATGACATTTGGACACCGATAAAGGACACTGGGGGATGAATGACAGACACTTGATTTCAAGAGTGTAAAAGCTGTCAGTATTAAAATGGAGTCACTTGTGTTAAAACACAAGACAAATTCCTGACAAATGGCTGGAGAAGGCCGTGAAGGGAGAGTTCTAATACATAAATGCCTGATAACAAGAACTATTGAAAAATACTGAAAAACCACAACTTTGGACAAAGGCCATTGCAAACACACACACACACACACACACACACACACACACACACACACACACAGAACTTCTGCAGAGACATATGCCCGCAACTGCCTGTACAACATTGGACTGGTGCCACTCTTGTTATTGATTACTATAGCCAAAGACAATTATCTCAAAACAATGATGTAACCCTCCTCCTTCTTCCTTGAAAAATCTTTGTCTTCCTCCCTGAATACACAAAATAGTTTAATATGGCATGCATATTCCCACTGCAATGCCCATTCCCAAATAAATATCATTTTCCTTTTAGAAAGTCTCCCTCTCTGTTATTAGGCTGACAAGAGGTAGTGAAAGAGATTTCCTGAGTGCCTATCATTTATAACACTCAATAGTTAGGAATATCAGTTGTTCCAAATCCATCAGTTAGATACATGATTCAAAGCAGAATCTTTATGTGGCAATCCCAATTTATGTACCTTCCACTCCAGCCATTTTAGACAGTTCAAATCACACAGACACAAAGAGATCCTTTCCTTCTTTTGGTTTTGCAGTTCACTTAACCAGACCACCCTTTTTCTTTCATAGTCGGATAAAATATCCTCTCTTGAAAGCCTAATTCAAATGCCGTGTCCACCATTTGACAAAACATTAGCTCTTTCCTCTGAAACGAATCACATTTTGATTGTATTCTACGCATTTCTTTCATGATTTATAGTCTGTCTCTCATTGTAGTGTCTGTATACAGGCTTTATTTATACTATTAATGTGCAAACTCTTGGTACGGCTTTTCCACAGGTGCTCAGTGTGTAGTTGTCAAGTACAATTAAATTGTATCAATTTAAGTTTATGCTCAAGGCTTCTCAGAAATGGCTTCATATCATTTTTGCAAAATAGTGTTCCCTTTATTTCCATTCTCTAGCACTTTATTTCTTTACAGCACACATCACACAGGACATATTAGTTTATTGTTTGTTTCCTCCACCAGAATGTATGACCTATGAGGGCAGGGCCTTTGTTTCACTTACTGTGTTATCCCCAGCGCTTAAACCTGTGCCTGGTCCAGAGTAGGAGTTGAATAAACTGATATTACTGAGAGTGAAAGAAATGCTAACTGGGGTACACCAAGACTCTGGGTCCAATAACTCATCGATTCTGTCAGTATTTGGCTGTAGGACATAGAGCAAGTTATTAACCCATGATGAGTCTCATGTCCCTATAAAATCAATGTCCCTATAAAATCGTTACCTATAGGATCTCTGAGGTCCTGTTTAATTCCATTAATGTAAGAGTAGAAAGTGAGAAAAGCAAACGGAGTTCGGGTGGATGTGGGTGGGAAAGAAGAATGCTCTAGGCAAGATTAAAGGACCTGCTTTTTGGTGCCGGGAAGGGAGAAAGTAGAAAAGCAAGAGCAACAGAGACAGATGCTCAGAAAAGGGCTGCCTTCACATATATTAATGCCTGTAAAAAAAGCCCAGGGAGGTGCTGACTTGGGGAGAGCCTGAGGCTGAGCAGACAGCTAAGCTGGTGGAGAGGAGGCTCCCAGAGGAAAGGCAACCTGCCAGTGGAGTGGGGGTGACGGGGTTGCCAAGCTCCACATACTTTGCAATTTTGCCTCATTTTCCAGACAACAACCACTCTGTTGTGACTTTGCAGGGCTGGAATAAGCATGTGGTTCACACGTGAAAGCAAATGAGAACTTCTATACAAAGAACCACACTTGCTGTCCATTTAATTCTTCCTCATTCTCAAAGAAGACTTGCTCCTTATTTCTTACCCTTAACCTCCATGTTGAGAAGCACTCAGCACTTCTCATTCTAGCGTATGTCTAGAACACTGCATCTAGTGTCACAAACTTGTCCTCTTGCCTCTTCTGCCCTGGCACCTTCCCTCCCCATACCAGTAAATCTGAGAAAGTCACTGTGTCTTCTACTTTTTCTTTCTCAGCATGTAGAGACAAAAGTGATTATATCCTGGATGTGAATCTGCCATGTCGACCTTTGATGAACCTCAGTCTCATGAATACCTCCTGATTCCTAGGATTTTTTTTTTAAAAACTGCCCTCAGCATAAGAACATGTCAACCTTGATGCTATTGCACACATTATAGGCTATGACACATACAGCATTCTCACCTGTTCTGGAGAGCCGCTTTTAATTGTCTTGCACAGAGCACTATACTGTTTCCTTGCCGTACAAGGCCAGAGTCTGGGGAGTAACAGCTGAGAAATCTATCTGCTTGCTGCCGCCCAAGGCCACGCTTCTGTCTACAATATCCTCCAATATCCAGACAGACTGGATTTGTCTGTCTTGTTCTTTAGTGGCTTGGTTCCTTCGCATTTGGGGGCTGCTTTGCATATAAGGCCCTTTCACAGAACACAGCAGCATGCTAGTACAATACGCTGTAGATTCTCCCTTCCTCTCCCCTCTCTCTCACATACTCATATTTTATGTTGAACCAATATGAGGCATGGCTCAAATTTAAGTCAGTAAAGTTCTAGGCTAGTTCTCAAAACAGAAACTGGAAGTAGAGGCTTTGAAATATGCTACTAGAAGGCTGTGTATTTAAGAGAGGGCCATCTAGGAAGCAATGATTGGCGTTAAAAACAACAACAAAACATAACAGAAACAAAAACAACTTGGGAAGCGGCCCTCCCTTGACGTTTTTTCTATCCCATGGTCAAAGGCGCGCTGTCCTTAGCTGCAATGATTTTGTCTCGCCTCCAAAAAGACGCCCGCGCACTGCTTGCTATGTGGAGCACCCGAGTGAGGCTAAGGTTCCTGCGGTAACAGACGGCAGGGAGGCTCAAACACCCCCAAACCCCGAGTCCTGGACAGCTCCCCACGCCCTTCCCGCGGTGCAAGGACCAGGCGGTTCCCTGGACACTCAGGGGAGCGGCGCCCCCTCCGGGTTCCAGCAGCGCTGCGACCGCGCCCCACCCAGGCCCGCGGGACTCGCGGGACAATCCGCGCCCCGGGAGACCAACTGGGACGAGCCGCGCCCACGCAGGCGCGCTGAGGCCCGGGCAGGGGCGGGCCGGGCTGGCGCAGCCGGCCTGAGGTCTAGGCCCCGGCGGGGGTGGGCCGGGCCAAGCCGGGCAGGGCCGGGGCGGGGCCGCTGGCGTTTCCGTTGCCTGGATCAGTCTGGGTGCAGCTGCCGGATCCTTGGGCGTCCGCATCCCTTACCGCCGCCCCGCGCTCCGCCGCTCTCCCCGGGGTTCGGGGCACTTGGGTCCCACGGTCTGGGTGAGTGGCCGCCTGGCCCGGGGAGGGGGCTCCCTCCGGAGAGGGGAGCGGGTCGCCGGGCACTGGGTTCGCGCGGACGCTTGGCTGAGCGTGGTCCCGGCAGCTGCGAGACGGCGGGTCGGCCCGTGGGCGGGGCCCCAGGGTCTGTCTGACGCCACCGCGTCCCCGCCGACCTGCGCTTGGGGAGGGCGCGAGCTGCGAGTGGCGCGCTAAGCCGGAGGTCTCTCGTCTCTTGCAGTCCTGCTTCACCTTCCCCTAACCTGACTCGGCGCCATGGCACAGGTAAGGCTGTGCGCCCCGCCCCGCGCTGGATTTACCCACAACTTTGTATGCTGGGATGAGGGACTTTTAGAATTCGTCTGAAAGTCAAAAAAGTTTAGGAGAAAACGGAACCTGCTCTGGGGACATCGCTTCCACCTTTCTTGTTTCCCTTTGGCTTCCCCACCCCATTTCCTGCGTCCCGGTTCTTCCCGTGGAGCACCGGCACCGACGCCACCAAGCTGCCCTCGCGCGCAGCAGCCGGTGACGTGGCCAGATTTGTGTGCGCTCCCTTTTCATGAGTGAATGTGTAAAAGTGGGCCTTCCCCAAAATCCAGAGAGTCACTAAAATTAGAACGAGAATGAGAACAGCTCATCGTGGTCATGTGAGGCGAACGCACTTTTTCCCCCCTCCTTGACTTCCTTTCTTTTTTTTTTTCCACAAAGGATTTTAATACTGTGATCGAGCACTGGCTTTTTCCAGTTGCTCAGCCCAGTTTTACTAAAAGAAACTGTTGGTTGTAGGCTCTGATTTTTCTTTTTTATGCAGAAGATTAAACACAAGCGCTGTTTTTCTTAAGCAATGAACTCGTGTAACGAGTTCTCAATTGAATTTGCCTTGGGACGGTTTCAGAAATGGATAATCTAATGCAGGCTATGCAGGCTTTCTTTACTGTGTTTTCCCTTTTTAAAAATTTTATTTATTTATTTATTTATTATGAGACGGAGTCTCACTTTGTCGCCCACGCTGGAGTGCAGTGATACGATCTTGGCTCACTACAACCTCTGCCTCCCAGTTCAAGCAATTCTTGTGACTCAGTCTCGAGTAGCTGGGATTACAGACACGTGCCAGAACGCTCGACTAATATTGCATTTGTAGTAGAGACCGGATTTCACCATGTTGGCCAGGCTGGTGTCAAACTCCTGGCCTCAAGTGATCCTCCCGCCTCGGCCTCTCAAAGTGCTGGTATTTCAGTCCTATATCACCATGCCTGGCTTCTTTACTGTTATTAATGTTTTCAAAAATGTAGGAAAGAGAAAATAGTTTAAGGTCTTTAAAAATTGAGGATGTTATACAGTGTTTTGTAAGATATCAGGGCTTAAAAACTCCAAAACTGATTCCGCAGATCTTGTCAATCTAACTGGCTTGTCAGAATCCAGATGGTTTTTTTTAAAAGAAGTGTTTTAACTGCTAAAACAATGCTGTCTCTTATTTGTAGTTCACTTTTTATCAGATTGACTTATCAAAATTGAATAAGGTTTCTTGGTCCTTTCCAAGTGAAAATGGGTGGATTAAGATGAGTTGGTTACTTCATTAAACTTTTACAGTGCGCCCATTCTTACTTCCTCTTTGCACTTAAATGTTGCAGTAAACCAATTCTCATTCCTCAAGTGGAAAGTTTGGTTTAGGTTCTTCTCCATAGAAAGGATACTTTTATGTGGAATTAACTTTTCTGAGGAATGTTTTTCCTCTCTTGATATGCTGGTGTGGTGATTGCATGACGATTAAGCAAACATTGAATAATAATTTTCTCTATCTTTGCTCATTTGACGGTTTCTTGAGTCTCTTTTTTTAAGTTCCGCAGTGATGCCTGAGGGTCCATCAATTCCTTTTCATTGTGTGGACTGTTTACCCAGTTAGTATAAGGGAACACATTCTCCAGTCGTGAACATTAATTTTAATAATTTCAAAGAATTATTAGTATCATAAAGCCCATGTGTATACAACACCTAGGAGAATGGTGGTTTGCATATAAAATTATGTACCTGAGCCCTATGACAATATAATACAGTACCAAACTGTTTTCTATCAAAACTGCAGTTTTTACTTATCATAAGTTACAAGTAATGTTTAAAAAAGATAGAGTGTTAAATTTTGTTCTGTTTTTGTTACTAGTTACTCTTGGAAACCATGAAAGTAAAACACTTTGTTAAAATGTTTAGTATTAAAGCTGGGTGGGGCGTCTGAGCAGTAAGAATGTCATGAAGGCAAAACTAGATTACGTAATTGTTCATTAGAAATTTCATAAATATCAGAATTATCTCCACGATATATGTTTAAGTTACAAGGTTTGATCAGAAATCTTTTGGGTTGGTTTAACATTATTATAGTAATTAAAAAAAAAAAAAAAAGCCCTGTGCCGAGCAAGCAGGATAAATGTAAGTAAGTAAATTTGAGATGAGACTCATTCCAAGGAAGCTGACTGGGTATTGATTGTATCTTTTCATGCCATTCTTTTTGTTTTGTTTTGTTTTGTTTTGTTTTGTTTTGTTTTGTTTTGTTTTTTTTTAGTTGGAGAGTCTTGCTCTGCCTCCCAGGCTGGAGTGCAGTGGCGCGATCTCAGCTCAGCTCACTGCAACCGCTGCTTCCCAGGTTCAAGCAATTCTCCTGCCTTAGCCTCCTAGTAGCTGGGATTACTGGTGTGTGCCACCACACTTGGCTAATTTTTGTATTTTTAGTAGAGACGGGGTTTCACCATATTGGCCAGGGGCGGTCTTGAATTCCTGACATCATGATCCACCCACCTTGGCCTCCCAAATTGCTGGAATTACAGGGATATGCCACCACGCCCAGCCCATGCCATTCATTGTTAAAGTCAAGGCTCTGGAGCTAATGTTCGCTTTTAGGATTGTAGGCCATGGTTACCTGTTTACCCATGGCCTTTGCTGCTCCTGGTGATCTCTCTCAGTTCCTTATCTCTTTGACTCTTATCTTCATTCTGGCTGCTGAGAAATAACTAGGTCTAAAACCATTTGGCTGCTTTTTAGGGCGCTGATCAATTCATTGGCGTTCAGCAAACCCTAATTTCCTTATCTAATATTCAGTTCTCTTTGGAGGTCCTACATAGGTGATCAAGCCAGCTAGAGGTAGGCAGTCGGCTTTCTTTTAATGACAGAAATATAACAATACTTTTACAGCATAGATTCATTCCTGAAGTACATTTTATTCCTATAACCTTCGTACTATTCTAAAATTTCACAAATGCATCTGTTTCTTAAAAATGTGTTCCTAAGACCTTTGCTTTAAGTGCTTCTTAGACCCAGTCTTTCAGTTTCGTATTTGCATAATATGTAAACATATCATCAATTGATTAATTGCAAGGAATTATATTCCTGGTGGCTTCATTTCTTTGGTGACTTTTTTTTTTCAACCCCAAGATGGAGTCTCACTCTGTCATCCAGGCTGAAGTGCAATGGCACGATCTCAGCTCACAGCCACCTCTGCCTCTTGGGTTCAAGTGATTCTCTTGCCTCAGCCTCCTGATTAGCTGGGATTACAGGCATGTGCCCACTACACCTGGCTAATTTTTGTAGTTTTAGTAGAGACAGGGTTTTGCCATGTTAGCCAGGCGGGTCTTGAACTTCTGACCTCAGGTGATCTGCCTGCCTTGGCCTACCAAAGTGCTGGGATTACAGGCATGAGCCACCACGCCCAGCTGGACACTAGTTCTTAACTGTTCTCTTTTTCATCAGTGCATGCATTTGTGAATGTATGAGGCTTTTGCACTTTCACTATGTGCCAAGTATTGTTAAACATGAGTACAACGGGAAATGGATCTAAGAATTATTGATATAATAGATGCATTGCTAAGTCATTTGCATGTATTATTTAGTCCTCATAACACAGTTTTGGAAATAAATATTACTATTTTTGTTTCACAGAAGAGGAAATTGAGGTTACCTATTTGGCATCATTTGTATGGGACAAAGGAGGGAAGCCATTATACAGAGAGGCAACAAGAGCAAATAAATACTTAGGGATATAAAAGCATTTGGCATGATGAAGTGAAGCTGCAGTGAGGTAGGGAAATTAAGCCCTGACTTGGAAAGGGATGCCAGATAGGTAGACAGGAGCCAGCACTAAAGATTATATGTACCATTTTATAGGTAGTGGAGCACTATCAAAGAGTTGCAGGTTGAGGTGTGCCATCATCAGATTTATATTTAACAAAGCTCACCCTGGGGCCAATGTGATGGTTGCATTTCTGGAAGATGCAAAGACAGGGTGGTGGAGTTGCGGGGGTTGAGAGAGGGGAGAGGGAGGCCGAGTACTGGAAAATTATGTAGGCTCTGTTATCGTAATCCCAGTGAGACCTCAAAGGCTTAAAGTAGGCAGTATCTTAGGTTTCAGATAAGAGAGACCTGTCGGGGAGGGTGGACAAATTTGGTACTTGAGTGGGGTAGTTGTTCACTGATGGAGGATCAGGGGAGGGTCAAGAGGACTGGCTTGCTTGACCATGGTTGATTATGGGGTCTTTTTTTTTTTTTTTTTTTTTTTATAGGAAAAAATGCAGGTTTGAAGCAGGGAAGAAACAGTAGAGGATTTGTTGAATTTGAGTTTCTTATAAAACACTTAGGTGGCATTATCTGGTACATAGTGAGGTATATATGATCTCTAAGTCTGCTAAATCCTCTTTTATTTCTATAGGTTCTGTTTGTTTTTTGCTTTGTTTTGTTTTGAGACAGAGTCTCACCCTGTCACCCAGGCTGGAGTGCAGTGGCACTGTCTGGACTCACTGCAACCTCTGCCTCCGGGGCTCAAGTGATCCTCCTACCTCATCCTTCTGAGTAGCTGGGACTATAGTGGAATGTGGTGGTGCCTGACTAATTTTTGTGTTTTTTTGTGGAGATGAGGTTTCACTAAGTTGCCCAGGCTGGTCTCAAACTCCTGACCTCTGGTGCCCTGGTCTCCCAAAGTTCTTGGATTATAGGCATGAGCCACCGAGCCTAGCCAGATCCATTTGCTTATATATTATTTATTTCTTTCCATCACTAAAAAAGATTTGAAGCTAGCTTATTTCCTACCCTTTTCTAGGATCAGCCGCGTTCATTAGGTTTGTGCCCCTTGTTTAGATACAAAAGGAAATAAAGTTGTGACTCTGTGTACATTCTTATCTAATATGAGAATTCCATACCCCTGATTGTTTTTGAAGTGTTGGTGTGAATAAATCAGTTATTGTTAGAGCTTTTCAAGTGTTATTTATGAAATGCCCAGTGGAACAACTTGGTAAAATAGAATACTT